ATTTCTGCTGATCTATGTGTTTCTCTTACCGGGGAGCCGGCGGCATACTGCTTTCTCCAGACTCTCCATCTTGACTCCTCCTTACTACTTCCTATTGGCCAACAGTGCTTTATTATTAACCAGTATGAGAAACATACCGAATGACCTCTCCCATCATCTCCTCTTTTCTGTCTAAATAAAAAGAAGGGTTTTAACCTTAACATAGCAAAATATATTATACAACAGTTATCAAGTAAGAATCACAGTTAACAATATTTAGTCCATTAACATTTAGCAAGATTTGAAGAAAATATTCCATCATCTATCCTATCTTTGTGTGTCTAAAGTCTATGTACCTTATCTTTAATACTAAGGAAAACTATAACCATAACTATCTGTCTTCAACTCCTTCTAAGACCACAGAAGGATAGTCTATAAACTCTAGAAATGACAGAGACATCTTGCCTTGTCAGGCACCAAGTTCTTCTGTAATCTTCCATCTTCAGCCCATAAGCCATAGTGTGTCTGGCAGACTCTTCAGCAAACAGGAAACTTTAAACTGTCTTCTTGTATTGGCAGTTTGTCAGTCACTTTTCTCTGTGTCCTGCAGACTGTCTCACAGACTTTTCCATGAAGCAGGAACTCTGTAGCAATGTCCATCTTGAATTAGCAGTCACTTTTCTGTGTGTCCTGCATGTCCAGTTTATACAGCATAAAGTCAAACAGTCCAGACAAGAGCAGTATCTTGTCCAAATGGCTAGTCTTGCCATATTGGAAGCAAACTCAAAACGAGTTTCTTCAATGTCCATCTTCTTTTCTGGTGCAGGTGGTATTGCCAAGAGCAATTATGTCTCACTGTCAGGAAAACCCTAAACCATTTTAAATGCCATATTCTGTAGGTCTTTGAAAGGTTTGAAGAATGCCTATCTATCTCAAATACATCTCTGTGTATCTTGAAAACCTAACTAACTTAACTCTAAGCTTTGACTATCATAGGTAATTATCTATAATCTGTACTACATTATACAATATGTTTCTGAATGAACTATATAGACACAATGCCTAAACAAAAGGAGAAATATACACATCACAAAATTGACCTTAAATTGTATCAATAAATGAAAATCCATTCCAAAACAAAGTATTCATATCTATACCATAATTCCCTTTTTACCTTTAAAAAGATATTGGTTGTGATCATTAACCATTTATAACCAAGTCCATTTAAATGAAAACAAACATGTATAAACAATATTTGGGAATTTGGGCGTCGTTCTTTCCAAACTACTTCCTGCTGACAGGGGGCGCTGTCATGGGGGATCATGAGAAGACACAGAATCTTGGCTGTAGTCTGCAAGACCAAACCACATAAGTCTGGAAGGAATCCACAGCTTTTTATTTTCTGTGGAAACAAAAATAGAAATCCTTTTCCCCAGTAACTTGTCCTTGAACTTAAATGTTGGAGTCAAAGCATTTTTAAAATATATAAATTGAATTAATCCAGCAGCATTTCCTTTATCAGTTGTTATTTTCTCAGCAGTCAAACAATGTAGAGACAACACAATAGCATACAGTAACCAGATTCTCTCTGAGCTGTTCATCTTTACGTTCCTTTATTACTCTGTTTATTTTACTTTTATTTTTTTATTTTTTGACATAGGGTTTCACTGTGTAACTCTTATCTGTCCTGGAATTTATTCTGCATACCAGGTTTACTTTGCAAATCACAGAGATCTGCTTGCCTCTGTCTCCTGAGTGCTGGGATTAAAGGCGTGTGCTACAACACCCAGTTCCTCTTTGTCTCTTTAAAACCATTTTTTTTCATGTCTACGTATATTTTAAAACACACTGTAAACCTTTAGAGGTTTTTCTTAATATGAATCTGTCTTTACTGTAAATCTTTATCTTCGTCTGGCCACAAGTCTTTTATCTGGTAAACAACAACATTGCTAAAATGAAAGTCATAGCTGTGTCAGCCTCGGTTTACCAAAGATGGTGGCGGGTATTTTACCGCCAGCACGGAAAGCTGTGCTCACCGCCTTGGTCTGCGCTGCCACCCAGAAAGCATGCTGCCGGCTTGGAGATGTGGTCACTGCCATCGCCATCTCTCATACACACCAATAAATTGTTAGCAGAGTTATTTAAAAGCTGTGCGGTTTTTTGCCGCTCATGCTGAGTCAGGAATCTTCCCTTAAAGGAGCCGCGGAAATTTTTGCTTGTCTCACACAAAAAAGAATCCAACCGAGAAAAATGCTGCTACCAAGAAACCTTGCTTGTCACTGTTCTTTTGTTTTTAAAACCCTTTTTTAAGCTTTTGCTAAATTTTAAGTGGAAGTTCTTATTAACCACGTGGGCGCCATTTGTAACGATTACGGTTTTTCTGCCCCGCCGCCTGGTCTTGTCCCAGCACCAAGCCGCCCCAAATAATACACAGAGACTCTGTATTTGATACAATACTGTTGGCCCAGTTACTTGTTTCTTATCGGCTAGCTCTGCCTTTAATTATTAACCCATTTCTGCTGTTCTATGTATCTTCACATGGCCTTCTCTTACCGGGGAGGCGGCTGGCGTCCAGCTCTCTCCTGACCCTCCATCTTGACTCCTCCTTACTACTTCCTATTTCCTCCTTGTCTCCTAGTCCCTCCTATCTTCCTTTCCTATTGGCCAACAGTGTTTTATTATTAACCAGTATGAGAAACATGTACAGAATGACATCTCCCATCAGTTATATGCAGATAAATAAAACAGACCAACAGTACTTTTATAATCAAACCCAACTAACATTATACTAAAAATATGTATGTGTATATGTACCTACATACACCACACCTATTTTAGAAAAAAGGTTCATGGTGAGAATGATTCTGAAAATATTCACTGATAAGCATTATGTATGAAAACTTCTATGTAAAAAATTAAATTATTTTTGTGCAATTCTATTTGAAAGACATTTCACGATGACATGGTCCTAAGTCATTTCCCTCTATAGTGGTTCTCCACCCCACTCAACACCAAGATGGCAGCACAGAGAGTGTCACATGGATACAGTCTAAAATACCCTTGAACTCCATTCACTCTTGAAACCAAGAAGTTTACAGTTGCTGCAAAGACTTACCATAAAATGCTGTTCCTCTAGTCCAAATTAAGCACTCGAGATATTAAGAGGATTAGAAGCTACTTCATTTGGCTTCTCAATAACCCTATAAGAAAAAAATTTGTATTGGAATAGCTAAGCAAGTCCTCACTGAATTAACATTGCATTCTTCACCTGCATAGATTCAATTTGGCTTAAATGCTCTTTATCCCAGTACATCAGTCTGGAGTTCACAAACACTCCTAAAAGTACATGTCATTTATGAAAAAAGATTTCTTAGTAGTACCATGAGAATATATAGGATAATAAAGGCTTCTAAAATCTGTTTGATCAACCATGGGACATTCCTCAGTTGGAGTAAATACTAAGGTTATATCACCCTGAATGTGCCCGATCTCATCTGTATAACAGATTTTTTAAATGTACTGGAATGTACTGCAGAAAATAAATATAACCCAGAAAACCTGATCACTGGATATGTTTACTAATTCCAATGTATTTCTAAGAAATTCAAAATTGCTTTGCAAACAAATTATAAATAAAACCACTAATCTTGGTTTTCAAAACATGGAATTTAATAATGAAAAATTATTTCTTATAGAGATCTAAGAAGTATGTTAATTAGAAATCTTTCATGGAGATGTTTAAGATCTCCATCATTTCAATGTAATGCTATCAGTAACTATGCAGCACGTAAATTTAAGTCCCTGAAAACTAGTATTTCCAGAAAATATAGTGTTCAGTAACTTAAGACAAATGACAATGAAGCTTGGCAGGTATTTTTGTTTCCTTTGTCTGGGGAGAGTATTTGCAGTAATTTAAAAATGTTTACTTGATAAACTGATAATTTAATTCAGTATTATACTTTTAATGTTTCTTAAGAAAAGTGAATTTATAAGTGTGAGAAAAATAATTTTTCTTTATTCATATTTTAGAGGCAAAGATTGTGATATATGTTCTTATTCTCTTCCTATGCAAGAAAAATATCTAATCTATGACCTTATCATAATTTATAGATATATTTGTTGTAGTATGTAGTACATTGACCTCTACATTTTGTATAAAATATTTAAATAGTTTAGGTGTTAAATATTTTTTGAACTAACTATATTTTAACTAATATACTTCAGAGTTATTAAGCATGAAACAAAATATTGTGTAAATTCTTCCACTGAACCTAATTATAGAACCTCAGTTATGTTTAGCTTATTAAATATTCCTGACACAACTTTACATATTTTAATTATAAAGGTCAATAACAGTTCACATTTTACTCCTAAAGTTTTATTTCATAAACAACAACAATGACAACAACAAACCATAATGAGTTTCAAGCCCAATGTTTAGAACAACCATAGCAAAGAATCAATTAAAAAAATACCATTAATTACATTGCATTTTGTTATATTACTTAAGGACTCCATTATATATCATGTAAGACTTCAGCAATTCTACAGACAAGAAGAAATATTAACAGGAATATTTGAATTAGTAAGGGTGTTTCATTTGTTAATTTGTAAGTGAAGTATATGACTTTAACACTACTTTCCTAGATTCTTGGAAAACAGAACTACAATTGTTCTTCCACAGAGTATAATTTGCTAATAATTGGTTCAATTCTTTTCTATGTACCCCATATCTTCATATTTGTATCTACATATGCTCAATCATTTTACCTTCAGATACATCTCTTCGCAACTATCAAAACCTCTGCTAGGCATCAAATCCAAAGCCTCTGGCATACCAGGAAAGCACTCTTACACGGTGCCACACAACAGTCCCATAATTCACAGCAACATCTAATGGAGAGGTTTCATTTTGTTTTGTTTTGATGTAATGCATTTTAACTCTTCACTTTCTCATTGAGGGACATTTAAGTTTATGTATCGGATATGTGAACGTTCTCTTTTTTTTTATATTTGCTTAGCTCCAAAGCCCAGATGAAGGCTTTGAAGGCAAATCTCTTTATGACAGCTGGAGGGAAAAGAGTTCTTCACCAGAATTCAGTGGAATGCCCAGGTACACACACAACCCTGACTTTCAACCTAGGTCGGTTCCTCTATGGATTATTTTGGAAATAAAAGGGTACCCTTTTTCAATTGTTAGTAAAAGGTAACTTTCAAAATGCTCCGACATGTGACGAATGAGGTGCTTAGTTTTGCAATATAATATTACCCTGTGTTTTGAAATTAAATCTGAGTATTTCAAAAGCTGATTTCTTGAGCAAGCTGTATACAAGAGGCAGCAGCCAAAATTCTAATGACATGGGCCCTTCAAAGTACACTCTGAAAATAATTTTCATATTTACTGAAAAGGAATGAGTGAACAATGGTGTCCATTAGGATACATGATGCTTCTATATGGTACATGTAAAAGGTCACAGTGGAGAAAATGGAATACAATTCTTGTTGAATATCTATCCCATGTCAGTATAATGTTATTCATTTTCCTGAACATCATGAAGTTACAAAATATTTTGATTATTTTAATAATTTTTAACTATGACTTAATGGTTGTATCTTTACATGAAAGAGAAGGGAGATAAATATCTCAATAGTTTATAAATGCATATGTATACAATATGAATAACTTAAATGATCAAGCAGAATTTATATTCTAAATATCTGAAAATGTCTGATTCCTTTCATTAGCATATAAACAGACACATATAAAACAAATAGTTTGAAGGAAAGTATTTTCCACCCTCCAGAATTCTTAAATAAAACTGACTTATGAAAGTGTCACTCCTTAAAATTACATTACAGAGGAGTACATTTTCAGAACCAGAATAAATAACTTTATTTTAGCTGTATGTCTGAGGCTATCATATCTGGAATAGCATAACTAGAATTTAGTATTTGACCTTTGGTCTTTATAGAATGAACATGCACTCTGAACTAATTCTGCTAACTTTATTTCTGAAAGGATTAACAAGCTGGGGTCTGGCAATGATTTTGAAGTGTTTTTTCAAAGACTTGGAATTGCTTCAGGTAGAGCAAGATACACTACAAATTGGGTAAGTCTTAATTAATGAATTCTTAAGGATTAAGTATGGCTTTAAATTTTTCTAAGCTTTACTTACATTAATGTTTGTAATTTATAACTTACATGTCTACTTTTATTTTATTTTTCAGATTGTTGTTAGTAAGAAAAAATGTCATAGTAATTTTCTTATTTAAGGTTGATTCTTGTGATGACACACCATGAACAAAGCAACTTGGGAAAAACTGTTCAATATTGAAGGAAGTCATGACTGGAATCTATAGGCAGGAGCTGATGCAAAGGCTGTACAGGAGTACTGCTTAATAGCTTTCTCAGTCTAGAGAAATAACTAATTAATGAAACACCTTAAAGACTTGTCTATAACCTGATCTTATGGTGGCATTTTCTCATTTAAAATTCTCTCCTCTTAGATGGCTCTTGTTTGTGTCAAGTTGGCATGAATCCAGTCAACACAATCAGTAAAATATAAGAGAGAGTTTGTTTAAATTGTTTGCAAATAAGGATATAGTTAAAGGAGAAATCTATTAGACCCAATTCTGACTTCCCATTATGCTCCAAATCCTAAAGCCAGATGGTAATTATTCAGATAACAGTGATTGTTTGCAATTCTTTACTCTTTAACACATTATTTGCCCCCAGCCAGGAACCTTCTGGGTAAGATGTTATGTGGGTTTATATGGGGGTTTTGATGAGAATAGATAACTTTGACATATAAGAAACTACAACCAAAGTTAAGGTGATCACCGAATGTAATTGATAATGAATTTTGCAGTCCCAATGAAACTCATCCATCATTAGTAATGCCTGAGGCTGTCTTTTCAGCATGCCAAACAACATGTGTTTTATATCAGTAGCAAAGCAGTATATTGAGAAAATATTAGAAAACATTAGTCAGCATTTCACTGGGCAGAAAGTCCTTCATTTTCACATACACAGCTTTCTTTTTTTCTTTAATTTATTATTTTACATGTCGATCACAGTTCCCTCTCCCTCCCTCCCTTTTACCCTTTCTGCCCCCTCAAAGTACCCTGACCACCCTCCCCTCCCATTCCCCCACCCCAATTCCACATCCAGGTAGGGTCATGTAGATCTGTCAGGTCATTTCAAGTAGTGACTAGGACTTCTCTCCTGTCTCTAGGTTAAGGCAGTTATCCCTCCATGGGGGATTTGTTTGTAAGATCTTATTGTGCACCAGGGATACATCCTGGTTCCACTGTCTGAGGTCCCTTAGACTGCTCAGTCCTTCTGGATGAGACCCATATTCAGGAGGGCCTGAGTCAGTCCCATGCTGGCTTCCCAGCTATCAGTCTGGGGTCCCGTTAGCTCCTCCTTGTTCAGGTCAGCTGTCTCTATGTGTTTCTGCACATACACAGCTTTCTTTTTTTAAAAAAAAAATTTAAATTTATTTTATATAACAAAGTCCATCTAAATGAAAACAAACATTTATAGACAATATTTGGGAATTTGGGCGTTGTTCTTTCCAAACTACTTCCTGCTGGTAAGGGGCACTGTCATGGGGGATTCGAAGAAGATTCAGAAATCCTGGCTGTAGTCCATACACAGCTTTCTTAAGCCTGATTGAACATCACTTCTCTCTCTCATTAGTTTGTATCCCAGTCTACCACTTTGGTCCTTACTGCTTGGTTCCTCCACTGTGCAGCATGCTGCTTCTCAGACCCTTTTCTGTGAAATTTTCAGTGATAAATTATTTGACAGAGTCACCTATCTTCTAGTCTATTATATTATTTCAGTTCTCTAATAATTCTCCAAACTCTCTTCTTAAATCATTTCTTTTCTAATGCAGCACTGTAAGGTTTATTCTTTGGACTCTCAATACATTTACATATCTCTTGTTTTCATTGTCTACCAAAGAATATTTTAACAGTCTTTTTCCTGTATCATTTGTACATGTGTTTTCATTTGCACTGGCAAAATTAACTCTTTACTAAATTCCAAGTTCCTAAGTTTATATGGTTTAGTTCCTTAGTGATCAAACTTAATAATATCTGCAGTAAGTACCATGTTATGAGTCTTGTTATGAGCTCTTACAGAGATATATTATGTTTTTTCCATATAGAAAACAAACAAAGTCAGAAGCTATCCACTCTATCACAGTGTCTATGAAACATATGAGTTGGTCGAAAAATTTTATGATCCAACATTTAAATATCACCTTACCATGGCCCAAGTTCGAGGAGGGATGGTATTTGAACTGGCTAATTCTATAGTGCTTCCATTTGACTGTCAAGATTATGCTGTAGCTCTGAAAAAGCATGCTGAAAATATCAACAACATTTCTATGAATCATCCACAAGAGATGAAGGAATACATGGTATCATTTGGTATGTCACAATTTATCTTTCAAATTCACTCTTGTATTTTAATGATTTCTCATCACTGTTTCTATTATACCAGATAAGATCTTTTTCTATTAAAATACTCTTTTAATTACATAGATGCCCTAAAATATATACATACCTCATAAATAATTAGTTCCTATGTAGTTTGTATATCTGGAACTGTACAGAACTCATGCTGTGTTTCTCTCATATTGAAATGGGCCTTACGTATCTTGCACTGGCTGGTATTAAACTCCTGAATTGGAGTGATCTTCCTGCTTCAGCTTTCTGAGTGTTGAGACTGCAGGCATTGCTAGCTTACCTGCTTTAGAAATGATGTTCTTAAAGCTTTTGGTAATTTTAAATTCCATTTCAGATTCACTGTTTTCTGCAGTAAAGAATTTTACCGAGGTTACATATGAGTTCAACAAAAAACTTCAAAATTTAGACAAAAGCAAGTATGTCATATATTATACTTTATTCTATCTGTACTGATGACTATATTAAATATAATTAAAATAACATTAATTTATATTTTTATTGTTTTGGAAATTCTTTTATGTTTTCTGTCTTCATTCTAATCCATCCTATTCGGAGTTCTGTATTATTTGAAGATTTTATTTCTTACATGAGTTGTAACTAAGCTGCACTGCTTCCTTCCTGCCAGCCTATTACATACAATTTACCTACATTAGTAGTGTTGACTCCAACATGCTTTGGTTTCACTTGTTATTTTTTTTCACCTCTGCACATCATACTCCAACGGAATCCATTTTTTTTTTTTTTTTTTTTGGAGCAAACATCTCTTTACTTGTGTTTGAAGTCATTATGTCCATATTCATATGATCCATTTCATCTCCAGTAAAAAAAAAATCAGTGTATCAGGAATAATAAACACTCTTAAGTCATTATTTTTAAAAATGCTAAGGAAAAGGAATAATTCTGTGTAAAACCAGAACCATAAACAGAATTTGACAAATGTTAAGGATTATTATTTAGATGTAAAATCATAAAGTTTGCCAAACTAATCCTTAGCATGTAAAATGGAATTACAACTTGTACAATGTTCAGAATTGCTCTGAAGTTAAACATTTAAAAGTATATACAAGCGTGAGGGAATTTTACATGCTATTACTATTAAAATTCACATAAAATGGAGATCTGGATAAACTAATGGATACTACAACTATTTAATAACACTATAATATTCACTAATTAAATCATGGCATAATTAGACTTCTCTGATAATTAATGATTGAGCAGTTTGTGTGTTGATGGTAGATTTTTTCATGTTACAATGATGTATAATGTGTCAATGAGTTTGATGTTACTACAAACTTATAATTTACCAAGTCGTGTTCATAATTTCATGAAGGTATAACTTTATTAATTTTTTTTAGCCCGATATCACTGAGAATTATGAATGACCAGCTGATGTATCTGGAACGTGCATTCATTGATCCTTTAGGGTTACCAGGCAGGCCATTCTACAGGTGAGGAAAAAAAATAATTTTATAGTCTAATATCATTGTGTAAAAAAAATAGTTTATTTTTATTATTCAAAATATTGTTAGTGAGGTAATTCCACTGTACACAGATTTATGTTCTATAAAAATGTTTGTTTCAAACATAAAAGTTTGTCCTTCATCCCAGTCTCATTCATCAATGTAATTACCCAGTTCTCTTGTTTCTTTTCAGTAGCTTCCTTCATTTCTCCAGTGTCTTTTATTTTACATGTCTTTTAGGAATTCTAGGCCCTAAAATTAAAGTAAGTGTGACTTATCCTTCTGTGTATGGTTTATTTTTCTTAATATGATGATTTCTAGTTGCACTTATTTTCTAGAAAACAGTATAATTTCATTCCTCTTGAATAAAACTCCATCTCTCTCTCTCTTTCTCTCTCTCTCTCTCTCTCTATATATATATATATATATATCACTTTATGTTCTATTAATTCATTGATAGCTAACCATGCATATTCTATGACTTATTAATAATAAATAGTATTAAAATAAGCACAGTATACATTCACCTCTGTTATAGTTAGACAGTCCTTCATGCATATACCCAAAACTGGGGTAGCTGAGTCATATGGTAGTTCTATTTGTTCTTTTCTTGAGGTACTTTCACTTTTATCCCTATAGTAATTGGACTAGGTGCACCGTAATTATTGATATGTAAATGTTCCTTTCTCCCTAAATCTTCATCAGTATTTGTCCTTGATTGTTATTTACTGGGGAGAAATAGAAATGGTTTAATTTAAATTTTTCTGATAATTTGTATGTTGGATTTTATGCTTCATATTTTGAGAAGAGTGTATTTATCTGATTAGCCCATCTATTGACTGAGAAGTTTAGGGTTTAGTTGTCTAATGAGTGTGTTCTTTATGTATTCTAGATATCAATCCTCTGTCAGATGTTTATCAAAGATTCCCTCTAGTTTCATCAATAATCCTTCATTTGGCTGCTCCCCCCCAACCCACCGCTGCAAAGGACCTTTAGAATTTCCTTAAGTCATATTACTCAATCCTTGAAATTATTTTTCCCTTTTTATTATTTTTAAAACAATTTTCTTTTACATATCAATCCCAGTTCCCTCTCCCTCCCTGCTTCCCCCACTCCCATTCACTCCTCAGAGAGGGTAAGCTCTCCCATAAAAAAATTAACAAAGTCGGTCATATCACGAGACAGGACCAAAGCCCTCCCCTCCGTATCTATCCTGAGCAAGCCAACTTTCTATAGGGAATGGTCTCCAAAAAGCCAATTCATGCACTAGGGATGAATACTGGATTCCTGATAGTGTCTCCACAAACTGCCCAAGCCATCTTACTGTCACCCATATTCACATGGCCTAGTTCTATCTTATGCAGATTCCCAGTTGTCAGTCTGGAGTCCTTGAACTCCCACTTGCTTTGGTCAGCTGTTTCTATGTATTTCCCCATCATGGTCTTCCCCAACTAAAAATCAAAGAAATAAATGTGGAGGGTACCTTCATTGTCCTTCCCCTGTAATCAGACTGATGATTCCTTAATTGTCATCCTAGAACCTTTATCCAGTAACTAATGGAAACACATGCAGAGATCCACAGCCAAGCACTGGACCAAACTCCTGGAATTCAATCATAGAAAGGGAGGAGCAGAAATATGAGCAAAGCTTTCAAGACCTTGGCATGATTTATTAGCAACCATAGTCCTTTTCAATATCTTTGTCTACACCTACATCTACACCTTGAAATGTTTTCCCTATATTTTACTATTTTCAGGGTTTCAAGTCTTAGATTATGGCCTTTGATCCATTATGAAATGCTTATTGTGTAGGGTGAGAAACAGTGATATAGCAGTGATATAGTTTCATTTTTTAATGTAGTTTAATCAGCAACCTTTGTTGCTTTTTTCAATGAATATTTTTTAATTTAATTTAATTTTTTTATTTTACATATCAATCCCTGTTCCCTCTCCCTCACTTCCTCCATCTCTCTTTCCCTCTCTCCCCACCTCACATGCACCCCCACCACTAGCCCCTCTCATTCCCCCCCACTCCACATGTAGGTTGATGCCCTCTAGGAGGAGTCATCTACATCTGTTAAGTCAATTGAAGTAGGGACTAGGACTTCTGTCATGTCTCTAGGTTAAGGGAGTATCCCTCCATGGAAGATGTGCCCACAAGATCCTTTTGTGCACCAGGAATACATCCTGGTTCCAATGTCTGAGGTCCCTTAGACTGCTCAGTCCTTCTAGCTGAGACCCATGTTCAGTGGGTGTGAGTCAGTCCCATGCCTGGATTTCCAGCTTTCATTCTGTGGGCCTGTTAGCTCCTCCTTTCTCAGGTCAGCTGTCTCTATGTGTTCTGCAGCGTGGTTTTGTCTTCCTTCTCTGCATCTGGATTCCATTTCGGCTCAGTGTGTAGTCGTGGATGTTTGCTTCTGTTTCCAACAGGTACTATATGAGGGCTCCATGATGGTGGATAAGTTAGTCGTTGATCTCATTATCTGGGAAGGGCATTTATGATAGCTTTTGAAATTGTTAGTTGGAGTCAGTCTTGTAGGTCTCTGGACATTTCTAGTTTTCTTTCCAATCCTATAATGGCTCCCTTTTTATGTTCTCTCTCTATCTCTCTATTTTCTGTCTTCTATTTTTGATGCCTTTATAAATCTGAAGTTTTATTTCTGGGTCATCTTTTTTTGTTCCATTTATCCATGTACGGTTTTGTTTCACACTTTTTTTTTTTTTTTTTTTTTTTTTTTTGGTAATAAGGCTCTCTGTAGTGTGGCTTGAAACTAAGTATTTACATCTCCAGCTTGGTTCTTTTTACTCAGAACCATTTTGAATTGTTGGTAACTGTTATTATTAATCTTATACTCAGCATGATGAGATTTAAAATCACCTAAGAAACAAACCTCTGGGTGTTTACAGAAATGTTTAACCTATTTTGAAACACATATACTTAGCATAAGTGACACCATGGCATGACACAGGATCTGAGTGAATATAAAGGGATTGTAATTGGTTCACCAGAATTCATCTCTCTGCTGTTTGAGTGTGGATGAAATATTCTCAGATGCCCCACATTTCTGCTGTCCTGCTTCCACCACCATAGTAGACTATACCCTTAAGCTGTAAGACAAAATATTCCAATCTTTCCTTATGTTGTTTTAGGAGGTATTTTGTCACAGTAAGGGGAAAGTAATACAGGCAACCTGTGTTGAGTGTGGCTTAATGCTGTCATAATCTCACTGATACTCATGGTCCTTTGGAATAAGTTTGCAAGGTTGAATGTGGGGGAGTTTCTGGATTAATTTCTAAAATATGGTAAACACACCTTACTGAGTCCATCTGGTGAGAGTTAAGAAGACTAGAATGCTGACAGAGCATGGAGACTTGGTGTTCAGCTCACCAGTTTCAGGAGAGTATGAATACTCCACTAGAATCATGACAAAGGGTCTTTGTGTTTAATTCTAAAAAAGAATGTATAGAATCTGACTTCACACTCATAGGCCAGTAGTTCTCAACATGTGGCTCTGACCTCTTTGAAGGTGAAAGGATCCTTTCACTGGGGACTTCTAGTGAATTATCAGATATCTTGCATATGATATTTTCACATTATGATTAATAATAGAAGCAAAATTAATTATGAATCAGCAACTTAATAATTTAATAGCTGGGAATCATCATAACAAGACAAACTATATTAATGTGTCACACAACATTTAAGAAGATTGAGAACCACTGTTCTAGTTTTTAAGAACTTGAATGAGGTTGAATTAAAAGATAATGGACTACGTTGTTTGGTGTAAGACTTTATTATGAAATGCTTGTCCCGAGTCAGTACATGAAGTCTGCTGGCTGCTTCAATAATAGATATCTACCTAGGCCATGCATTAGACTAAAACCTGATTCATAGAGGCTTGTTTTACTATACGTTACGCTGTATAGAGTATGAATCCATCTTACTAAAACAATAAAAAGTTGACATTAGAACATAGGCTGGCTACAAGTATGATGTCATGATGTGTTTTAGCAGGGTGTGTGATATAAACATCATTAATTACTGCAATGTGCATTGAGATTATTTTATCACTTTTCTTCTCAGATCACTTTCTTCCTAGAGTGTTACCATTATCAAAATCACACAGTTATTTTAGTAATTATAAAAAAATTGTAAATCACTATTTTAAAAACTAAGCACAGTTAATACTAGCTATTCTTATTGTTATTTGTTTTGTATTGAAGCACTTTGAGTTATCCATTAAAAGTAAAACTATGCCTATTAATATTCTAGGAGATTATAGTGTTTTAGGTTCAAGTAACAGAATATTTCAAGTAAGACAATAAAGAGTATGCAGTTAAAATATAGTATCCTCATTCTCTTGTATATTGTTTGTGCAACCAATGGATGAAAATATGTTTTATCAACAGGCATATTATCTATGCTCCGAGCAGCCACAATAAGTACGCAGGAGAGTCATTCCCTGGGATATACGATGCTCTTTTTGATATTGACAGCAAAGTGGACCCTTCTAAGGCTTGGAAAGAAGTGAAAAGACAGATTTCTATTGCAGCCTTCACAGTGCAAGCTGCAGCAGAGACTTTGAGAGAAGTAGCCTAATGGTACTTCAGATAATCCATATTTAGTAGGTATGAAATTATTGGGATGACCGATATAGAAAAATGTTTGAGATTTTATGATTATGTGTATGTATAAATATATATATTCTTTTATTTTTTCCTTGTGGATCAAAAACAGAAAAGTGGATAATTTTATTTTATAATTATAAATATTAATCTGAAATGAGAGGTTCAATTAAGTGATTAAAACTATGGTAACCAGATGAATATAGCACCTCATTTATCTGACATTATCAGAAATCTAATACTGCATATAACTGTGTTATCTCAATGTAAACAAGAACTACTTCATTACAGAAAACACCTGGGACAGTGCACAAGCCTACTCTGCCAAGAGGCTTAGGTGCTGCCTGAACACCAAATCTCAAAGATTCATTTCATATAAACTAGCTGATGATTTTATTAAGACTATATGCAACATACATGTACAATTAATGATTAATATTTGTAATCTAATTAACCATATCAAGAAAACACTTCATGCACTTCTGAATAGCTGTGTCTTTTCTGTCAAATAATCATGGTCTTGGATTTTTATGTTTATTATTTCTTATTTGCACACAAAATAAACCAAACATAGTTGTAATCACTACATTAATATGTATTTTATATATTTATATTAAAAACCTCCTTATATTAACCCACATACCTACAAACACTTGATGTTTGACAAAACAGCTAAAAATATACAATGGGAAGAGGAAAGCATCTTCAACAGATGGTGCTGGCACAACTGGATGATGGTGTATAGAAGACTGCAGATAGACCCATGTCTATCGCCATGCACAAAACTCAAGTCCAAATGGAACAAAGATGTCAACATAAATACAGCCACACTGAATCTCATAGAAGGAAAGTGGGAGGTACCCTTGAACAAATTGGTAAAGCAGACTGCTTACTGAACATAACTCCAGTAGCACAAAACAATGAGATCGACAATTAATAAATGGGACCTCCTCCAACTGAGAAGCAAAGGACAGAGTTGACAAGACCAAATAGCAGCCCACAGACTGGGAAAAGATTTTCACCAATCCTAAATCTGACAGAGGGCTGCTCTCCAAATATACAAAGAACTCAAGAAACTAGTCACCAAAATACCAAATAGCCCTATTTAAAAAATGGTGTACAGAACTGAATAGAAAATTCTCAATAGAGGAAATCAGAATGGCTGAAAGACACTTAAGAAAGTGTTCAACATCCATAGCTATCAGGGAAATGCAAATCAAAACAACTTTGAGATACCATCTTACTCCTGCCAGAATGGCTAAAATTAGAAACACCAGTGAGGACTCATGCTGGAGAGGATGTGGAGAAAGGGGAACACTCCTCCACTGCTGGTGGGAGTGCAAACTCATACAGCCATTTTGGAGATATTTATGGCTGTTCCTCAGGAAAATGGGAATCAGTCTACCACAGGACCAAGCAATCCCACTCTTAGGCATATACCCAAATGATCCACATTAATGCAACAAAGACATGTGTTGAACTATGTTCATAGCAGCATTATTTGTATTAGCAAGAACCTGGAAGCAACCTAGATGCTGCTCTACTGAAGAATGGATAAAGAAGATGTGGCACATTTATATAATGGAATACTACTCCGTGGGAAAAAAATGGAATCTTGAAATTCACAGGCAAATGGATGGAAATTGAAGCTATGATCCTGAATGAGGTAACCCAGTCACAAAAAGAGGAACATGGTATGTAATCACTCATATATGGATTTTTTTACATAGAGCAAAGGATCATCAGCCTATAACTCACATTTCCAGAGAAACTAGGATACAAGGAGGAGTCTAAGAGATTCATATAAGGTCCCTCACAGAAGGGGAAAGGGACAAGATCTCCTTAGTAGAAGGTGGACAATGAGTGGAGAGGGAGATAGAAGAAAGAGAAGGGGAGGAGAGGAAAGCAAGTAGGACTAGGAATATTAAGTCAGGGGAAGAATAGATGAGAGAAAAGGAGACAGAAGGTGAGAGAGAGAGAGAGAAAATGTGAGAGAGAAAGAGAGCATAAAAGAGGGAGCCATTATAGGTTTTAAGAGAAAACTGACTCTAGATAAATGTCCAGCGACCTACAAGGCTGACCCCAACTAACAATTTGAATAACAGTGGAAAGGCTACCATAAACCCTTCCCTGATAATGAGATTGATGACTAACTTATCCACTATCATAGTGCCCTCATCTAGTAGATGATGGAAACAGAAGCAGACAACCACAGCTAAACACTGAGCTGAATTGGACTCCAGACGCAGAGAGTGAGGACAAACCTGGGCTACAGAAACACGTAGAGATAGCTGACCTGAACAGGTAGGAGCTAATGGGCCCCCAGACTGATAGCTGCAAATCCAGCATTGGACTGACTCTGACCCCCTGATCATGGGTCTTTGAAGGCTTGGGCAGTTTAATAGACTTCAGACATTGGAACCAGGATGTATCCCTGGTGCACAAAAGGAATTTGGGGCACATTTTCCATGGAGGGATACTTCATTAACCTAAGGCAGGAGGGAAGGCCTAGTCCCTACTCAAATTGACTTGACAGGTTTGGATGACTCCTCCTTGAAGGCATCATCCTACATGTGGAGGGAGGGGAAAGGGAGGGTAGGGTAGGTGGGGGGGCTTGGGAAGGTGGGAGAGTGGGAAAGAGGGAGGGAGTGTGGGAGGGAAAGTGAACTGGGATTCATATGTAAAATAAATAAAAAAGATGCAGAGATGGTTCAACATATGTAAATTAGTAAGTAAAACATATCATGTAAACTGATAGGCTGAAAGACACATCCACATGATCATATCATTAAATGCAGAAAAGGACTTAAGAAAAAAAATAACCTGTGAATAATGAAAGTATTGGAGAGAATGGGGATACAAGGGACATACTTTAATGTACTGAAGGCAGTTTCCAAGAAGTCCATATCTAACATCAGATTAAATGAAGAGAAACTCAAAGCAATTCCACTTAAATCAGGAACAAGATAAAGTTTTCTACTCTCTCCATAATCCTTTAAGTCTGAGCTAGATTAATAACATAGCCAAAAAAGAACAAGTCTGTACAAATTGGAAAGGAAGAAATCAAAGTATCATTATTTACAGATGATATATGATAGTATACATAAGTGACCCCATGATTTCCATCAGGAAACTCCTATTGCTAGAAGTATTTCAGAAAAGAGCTAGATACAAAATAACTCACAAAAATCAACAGTTTCCTCAAATAATTCAAAAGCTTTGGGGGTAACTCCAACCATTCAAGTGATATTCTCATCCTTTGGTTTGAATAATAATTGCTCTTATATACTGATATATTTGAATGCTTAGACATCAAGGAGTGGCCCTACCTGATAAGATTTAGGAAGTTTGACCTTGTTTGAGTACATGTGTATTTGATGGAAGGAATTACCAGGGATGGGCAATGAAGTTTCAAAGCCAATACCATTGTCTGTCTTTTCTTGCTCCCTATGGATCTGGATGTAGTACTCTAAGTTATTTCTCCATCACCAGGTCTGCCTGTGTGCTGACATACTACCAAAATATAGGTATCACCATTAATGACCTCAAAATATATTATAAAGCTATAGTTGAAAAACTAAAAGCATGGTAGAGGTATAAAACAGATGTGTTGATAAATGGATCAAATTGCAAATCCAGACATAAATCCACACACCTATTGACATCAGTTTTTTAAAAATAAAGAAACCAAAAATACACAACCAGGATATGTGTGACGTAGGATTCCTTTAAAGTGAGTTCAACAAAATATCCCATATTATTTGAGTATCTTTCTTCAGCATAAGATATTACTTGAAATCCACTTTTTAATATCATTCAATGTGTCCTAATGCATGTGCTCTTTGTTTAAACTGCATTATAGACCACTTGGTCAACATAATATACTTACCTTTGTTTAAAGAGAAATACTTTCCTCTCTCGTTTTTTTCTGTGTGTGTTTGTGTTGCATTGACTATGTAATACAGAGTAATATATAGATTATTAAAGTAATTTATTCTCCACTGGAGACTCAAAGATAAACATTCACAAATAATCAATAAACAGCAAAAGTTCTTCATATGGCATATTTTAAGGCAATTAATGTTCTTGGATTAGATTAGACAGTTGGTTGCTTGAGTTTAAGGTCTGTAAACTAAAATTTAGAGGAAGAATTCAAAGGACAAAAAAGGAAATGTCTAATGGAGAAGTATATTTAGAAACACAGCTCTAATGAAACATGTGTTTTATCCCAATTGTACAATTGAGGAGAAACACTTTAGGTGCACAGCATGTATTTTAACTAAAGAACTAAGATTGAGGTCTCTGCCAGGCCCTGATGGAAATCATGGGGTCACTTATGTATACTATCATATATCATCTGTAAATAATGATACTTTCCAATTTTTACAGACTTGTTCTTTTTTTGGCTGTGTTATTAATCTAGCTCAGACTTCAAGTAATATGGAGAGAGTAGAAAACTTTATCTTGTTCCTGATTTAAGTGGAATTGCTTTGAGTTTCTCTTCATTTAATCTGATGTTGGATATGAACTTCTTGGAAACTGCCTTTAGTACATCAAGGAACATAGAAATAAAACCATAAAAATAAGGATGAATGAATAAATGCTAAATTACATTGTTTTTAATACCTGTATGAGTTTCCTCAATATCTATGATATTACTTAAAATTATTATAGACAGTATATTTTATTATTTTTACCAAAGGAAATTTGAAATTTGTGCCTTAGAACAATTCAGATTATTTATGTTTCCAGACAAGAGCACTCTTTGTAGGTATGAAGGTCAACTTGAAGTGGTACTTTAAAAAAAATACATTAGTATTAATTTTAGAATTAGATAACATGGAAGAAAGTTAGAGCATTTGGCCATGTTTACAAACAATGAAATCATAACATATTTTTGCATCTTTAGAGCTGTGAAAAACCTTGGAGTTCTGAGATGATCTGTAATTATATATTATCTTGAGAATGCAAATATAAGCCACAGGGAAAATATTTTATCTTCATACAATCTTTGATGTG